TACTCGAACCATGACATTTCTTCTCAATCCGCTACTCAAACTCCTCCGGATTAGCCTTCCGGATCATCGCGGTCATCTCGTCATGAATCATACGACGAACCTCATCATCGCTAATACCGCTGCTCTCCGGCGTGTGTGGTGTACCAACCATGATGTCTCTGAAACACAACATGAAGATACCAGAGACTCAACCGAGTATACTCGCACTCGATCGCCCAACCCCACTTGTTCCTTGGTACCCTAAGGATTCTTACTTGGACTGCTCACTGATCCGGTGTCTACAGTAGTACGGGGCCTATACTACCGTCCACACCGCATCAGTATTCACCCCAAGTCCTCCTCCTTGGATCCCAGATCACAAGTACTCTACATTCCGCTAGCATAGGCTACCCTTCGGTAGACCTCTCATAAGCTCCTCACTGCTACCTACCCGCTCTCAAGCATCTCATGGCAGCAGAAACCTTCCTAGGCTAAGGCATCACAAATCAGGCCACTCTAGTCCTAATATGAATACCTAGCCTACTCTAGCATGCATAACATATCTCATAACACATAATGTAAGGGTATTTTGGGAAATCACCGTTCGGGCGCTGGCTGATCGTACACACTGCTCCGTTCTGCCTTTCTCAAAATCTTTTACTCTCTTAGAAAAATTGTTTATTTTATGAAAACTTTCTCAAATCCTCAGTTTGAGTTCAGGTACATCCGAAGTTGCACCCGAATCCCTCAAACCAAGGCTCTGATACCAACTTGTAACGACGTGAATTTTCAAAACAATTTTTTCATTTTTAAATCATACTTTCAATCATATGATAATCACAAAACATAATGTATCACTGTATCACAACAAAACATGTCCCCAGAATCTCAATAACATAAACCCTACAAGTGTGTACGGATCATGTCGGCGCCTTCCCGCGATCCTCGCTCGTACCTGAAACACATAACATAACAACTGTAAGCATAAATGCTTAGTGAGTTCCCCAAAATACCACATACCACACATACGCCTTTCCAGACCATAACCCTGTAGGATCCTCCGATCCATGTGTCTCAGGGGACTTCCGTCCCGAACCCTGGTAGACCTTCCGGTCCTACCCGCATCGACCTTCCGGTCCGTAACCTCTTGACCTTCCGGCCCATATCATCTTGACCTTCCGGTCCATATCATCTTGACCTTCCGGTCCATACCATCTTGACCTTCCGGTCCATACCATACATAGCACATACATATCACATAACCGCATATAGCACATACATCTCATAGCATACAAGACCTTCCGGTCACACATATCACATAACCGCATACCGCACATACATCATATCATACAAGACCTTCCGGTCACACATAGGTACCTTTCCAGGTACAGTATAGTGAGAAGACTCACCTCAATGAAGTCGGATAAACTCTCGTGCTCAACGTCCCGACTTAGCCTCCTCCTATTATTCAAATAGCATCCCAGATCAATATTCTCTCATGATCTCATCTCTACAGGTTGGGTAGAAGGCCATTCTACCCTTCCCTGAACTCTCCTGAATCAGTCTTGACCAGAACTCTAAAGTCAACGAAAGTCAACGGTCAAACTTTGACCCGACTCGTCGAGTGCAAAAAGGCGACTCGGCGAGTCCATGCGGGTCCTCTGAATCCTTTCAGTCTCTCTTGGCTCGTCGAGTCATCCTTCCACTCGACGGGTTACACCTGTCACGAATCGCGGGGCAACCCCGACTCTACTCGTCGAGTCCACTTATGGACTCGGCGAGTTGCCTCCATGCTCATACTCAGATGACCTTCTGAGGTCAGATCTGTTCCTCTAATCCATAGATCTGACCTTCCCAAGCTCAATAAACACGTAAAGGTTCGATCTTGATGCTCATGTAACGTCCAAATAACTCTACTTGATGAATTAGCCCCAAATACAACATCCTAAGTCCATTTCTTCCATAACTCATCATAAACCAAGATGGATAAGGCTCTCTGGACCACTATGGGTCCAGATCCGAAGTCTAAACATGATAAGGGACCATATCCCAAACAAATCATCCCAATAGAGGGTATAGAAAACCCTAGATCCATGAATTCTTCAACAAAACAGAAAAAGGATCGATATGCTACCTCAAGGATGATGTCCTCTGCTTGAAATCCATAGATATGCAACCTCCTTGGCCTCCTCTAAGCTGGAACCACCTTCTTCTTGCAAAACCAACCCACAAAGATAAAAAAATGACTTCTTCCCTCTCACAAACGCTCAAGCACTTCTAGGGTTTCTCTCAAGGGTCTGGTAGCTGCAAATGGTGGCCATAAAGGCCTTTAAATAGGGCACAGGCCCGGGGAATTAGGGTTTCACTTAACAGCGCGGACTCGCCGAGTCCACGAATCGACTCGTTGAGTCCTTCATTAAATCAGACCAGAAATGCGCGATCCCACTCGGCGAGTCTGAGCGCCTACTCGTCGAGTCCTTCTCTAAAATTCAATATAAATACTTAAAATAAGATACCTGGGAATCCGGATGTTACATGGATGTTAAAACCACTTTCCTTAATGGGAAGTTATCTGAGGACGTCTACATGAGTCAGCCAGAGGGTTTTGTACATGCCAAGTTTCCTGATAGAGTGTGTAAGCTTGAGAAATCCATTTATGTATTAAAACAAGCATCTTGCAGTTGGAGTCTTTGCTTCCATGAGAAAGTCAAAGAGTTTGGGTTCTTTAGAAGTGAAGATGAGTCCTATGTATATCTCAAAGCTAGTGGGAGTATAGTGACTTTCCCAGTCTTGTATGTTAATGAGATATTCCTCATAGGAAACAACGTTCCAACTTTGCAAAAAGTTAAGGCTTGGTTTGGAAAGTGTATCGCTATGAAGGATCTAGGGGAAGCGTCCTTAATTCTGGGAATAAGGATTCATCGGTATAGAAAGATTCGTCTTATTGGTCTTAGCCAGAGTACATATTTGGATAGAATATTGAAGCTTTTTAGTATGGAAATTTCAAAAACAGGGATTTCCCTATAATAGTAATATCAAGTTGAGTAAGACTCAAAGTCCAAGTACTGATGAAGAGAGAGCTGGCATGAGTCGAGTCCCATATGCCTCGACTGTAGGATCGATCGTGTATGAAATGAAATGTACTCGCCCTGATGTTTCTTATGCTTTGAGCATGGTTAGTCGATTTTAAGGAAAACTTGGCAGATCTCATTGGATTGCGGTGAAGAATATTCTTAAGTATCTGTGAAGAACGAAAGACATGTTCATAGTTCTTGGCGGTCGTATTACGTTAAGAGTGACTGGTTAAAGTGACGCCAATTTTCAAACAGACCGAGAAAACTTTTGATTACAGTCTGACTGGGTATTCTTGTTTAATGGAGGAGCGGTTATTTGGAAGAGTTCCAAGCAAGACACAGTGGTCGATTCAACCTGTGAGTCGGAGTACGTTGCGGCGAGTGAAGCATCTAAGGAAGCGGCTTGGCTGAAGAACTTTATCGGGGATCTCGGAGTTGTTCTGAGTATTCAAGAACCAATAGAACCGTTTTGCGATAATGAAGGTGTGGTTGCTTTGATGAAAGAACCAAAGGATCATGGTAGATCCAAGAATATCGATAGAAAGTACCATTATATTTGACATCAGTTAAAAGAAGGACACCTTCTGGTGAAGCAAGTATCATTAGAAGATAATGATGCAGATCCTTTCACAAAGGCTTTGAGCAGAGTAAAAAACTTCCAGAATGCTAGGAGCATAGGTTTAATTGATGATATAAGTTTTAATAGTTAGGTGATATTTTGAAACTTGTAACAAAATAAATGTACTGGATTTGGTGATTGAACAATAGAGAATTATTTATGAGTATTGTAATGCCTTATTCAATTATTTATTCATGTGTTTCTTTCTGCATGTTTATACTTACTGAGTAATTTGAATTATTCAAACTTCCACAATCGTTTATAGTTTTGAAAGTAAGTAGTGAATTAAGACTGTCATGAATGGATTTTAGATTGTCGATTGAGGTTAAGACATGGCAATTTGAAATGCTAAAATATTCATGAGTACTTTGAAAATAAGGATTTTAAGTATTGGATAAACCTATGCTTAGAGATTACTTCATGGATTTTGTCACAAGTAATTCTAAGACAATAATATCTACTATTCTTAAATTAAAGATATATAGTTCATAGTTTACATATCAATTTTGCATTGGCTTACTCAAACACATCTCATAATTGGTTGTTATAAAGGGTTATTCCAAGTGTGATTTGGTATATAAATTGTATGACTATATAGTCAAAGTAATTCATTCCTTTTCCGTAATAGGAAAAACAATAACATTGGGCCCCTCGATAATTTGATGTTGACTATATAGTGTTGGGCCCAGCCAGAACTAACTTTTATGTTCAATTTGAAGTCCAATAAAGTCTTTATAAATCGGGAAATCGTGAAACAGAATCTTGGAAAATGAGATTAATTATGATCCATGTCACGTGTCTATACGATATCTTGTAGAACGAAGGAGTAGCTGATGACTTATCTTAGGGCGAATAGCTGATTTGAATCAAAGTTTGGCAGTTGCTTTGGAAAGCACTCTTTGTTGTTTACTTCAAGGTCTATACTTGCAATTGTAGTTACAGACCTATCCAAGTGGGAGACTGTTGGATTAAGGTGTCTAAGCCAATAACTAAATTGATATATTTTTGAATTAGAAGCAAAGTTCTTTTTGGGTTGCGCTTATAACTAGTAAATGATGTTGCAATTATGGATAAGAATAGTAATATGGTGCTATTGTGAATGAAAAATATAAGTACATTCATTGTATTGATAAAAAAAGGATTTTGTTATTACTCAATATTAGATAAAAAAATGTTATTATATATAGTTTGTTTATGAAATATATGTTTTTTTTCTAATTATATATGTTTGTTTTAACAATTTTTATGTATCTAAGTTACGAACCAAAATGTAAATGGAACAACAAACAAGATACGATATAAAAGCTCATATGAAAGTGGGAAAAACAATGCTAACGACAATCAAGCAATATGACTTCTCTCGGGGGACTGATAGCTGGAAGTCTAAGTTGTCAAGAGATGGTTGTTTCTACGTTCATGATCTTAGTGCCGTTATCAAGGGTAAAATTACTTTGCAGGTGAATAACCCTACGATTTGACTGTGAATCGTACCCCTTAAGGTCATTTTTTTTTGCGTGGCGTGCTTGTTTGGACCAGATTGCGCCTGCTTTAGCTCTTATGAAAAGAGGTATCTATGTTCATGATACTTCTTGTGATCTATGCAATGGTGAATTCGATGAGGTTGATCACATCCTCTTGAAGTGTCACACTGTGTGTGATGCTTTGAGTTGGATTCTCAACTGGTGTAAGATCCCTTCGCAACATTTCGATTCGGTGGTTGAGTTTGTTAACTACGCAAGGATGTGGAGTCAATGTCCCAAAAAGAGAAATTCTTCTTGCCATTGTTTATGGTTTTCTCTGGTGCATGTGGAAGATGAGAAATGATAAAAGATTCAACATGACGCAAATTTCTGCTCATACAATGTCTTTACTTTGGTGTTCGATTGAGTTAAGCATAAGGATAATTTTGGTAATTGTAATTGGGTGGATTGGTGTTGCTGCCATTTCCATATTTTGTAACTTTATTTTTTCTTGTCATGGCTTTTCCTTTTAGAGAGTGGCTTTAATAATAATATTTCTCCACCGTTTCTAGAAAACACAAATAGAAATACAAATATGGAAGTTATGAAATGAATCGGTAACCCTCCTAAAAGTCCACCAAGCTCATTCTAGCCATAAATGTTTGTTGTTTAGATGGTTAAACTTATTTTTATCTTTATTTATTGTGTAGGTTAAAATGTTTGCTGTATTGTACATATTTTAGATTTATGTTTATTATCTATAGTTCTAAAATATAATTCCAATTTTAATTTTTTTGTGCATTTTAAAAATTTGGTAGAAAAATATAATTTTTTTCTCGTAGTTTTGCTATTCCTTTTAAACTACAATTTTACCGACGGACAAAAACGCCAATAAATACCGTTTCTAAAAACTGTTGATGAAGATATCCGACATTATGTCGTCTGAATTGGGCAAAATAAAAGCCGTCGATAATCTATCGGTAGAATTTTTCACTAAATAAATCATTTTGGAAGAGTCAAACATCAATTCAGTTGGTAATCCTTAGGTTAAGAATGATACATGATTGATACCAAACCAATACCGACACAAGAACATCGAGTACCGAAATGGGTCAAAACACGATGTCAAGTACTAAACCGAACAAAAGTTAATAGTACCATGTATGGTATTAATTTTCGGTACTAACATCGGTACCCAGTACTGTACCGTATCTCGAGTTTCTTGATTTATAGTACCGAGTACCAATGATGGATCCATATATTTTTTTTGTTAGGGATACTAGATCAACTATATGATCAGATCATATCAGTTTGGTTAAAATAATCAGGTCAAAATTGTCTACTATCATTCCAATAAAAAAAATACAAAATCCACATAATATTTAAAAAAAAAAAAAAAAAAAAAAACTTCCATGTAATATACAAGAATGTACTTCCCTATTTTTAATTTAACAACATCCCATACAATATATTCAAAGTTCAAACATTTATAAAATTTCACAAATTAAAAAAAAAACACATAAAAAATACTACAAAATTTACATATAATATTTCTTTAAACATTTATAATACTCCTTTTAAAAACTTATATGAATAACATTCAAAATTATTTTTTATAACCCCTAAATTATACGATGTAAAGAATATTATAAATAACAAAATGAAATGAAATAATCACAATAGCTGCAATTACATAAAATAATAAAAAAAAATTGAAATGTTGGTAAAAAAAAACTTAATTCCTGTCGTAGGTTCATACTAGAAACCTAACCTTCTGCGACGGAATTAGCGACGGAACCCTTCTGGTAGCTAATTAGTGTATGTTTTCCGAGGGATCAGCTACGGATTTCATGAAATCCTTCAACTTAAATAATTTTAGAAATTTAGTGATGGGTTATCGAGGGCTTAGCGACGGATTGATCTAATTTTTTTGGACAAAAAGAAATCCCTTGCTAATCTGTCGCAAGCTAAAGATTTTTAGCTAGGGAACAGCGGCATATTTCTTAAAACCATGAGTTTTTTTTATTGGGCCTCGCCAATCGATCGCTGAAAGGCCCACACTTTTTATTTTCATTCCGCTCTCTTTTCTTTTTACGTTCACTCATTTTAATTTCATTCCGTCTGAAAGCCTAAACACGATTTCCTCCCAAAGCCCTAAATCGCAATGCATTGACTCAATTCCATCCTCCGCCATGAAAATCACCTTCACCACTGTCCACCTTCATCGCCTCTCTTACCTTTATCGCCTCTCTTACCTGTATCGCCTCTCACTCAAGTTTACTTGAAGCAACGCCAAAGAACATCCGCGTGGCTTTCCTCTCGGTCTGTCTCCCTTCCTCGTTGACTCGTGGTTTACTGCCAACACCATTTGATCTGTTGGTTGCTAGAAAACTATGGTGGTTATCCCATTCAAGCTCTTATTCTTACAAATCTGATTAACTTTGAGGTAATTTTGAAGTTTTGTGGATGAATTGCACAAATTTAGGCCATTGTTTTGTGTTATATGTGTTAGATGATAGTAGTAGCTGTGAATTGATGTTACAATTGATGAAATTTGATTAAGTTTAAGTTAATTTTGGATGAAATTGTTATGAATATAATTTGGGGACCACAGAAGAAGGTGCGACTTCCTGAAAGGGTAAAAGTCTATCCCCTTTCAATTGAAGTCTTAATTCTATCGATTAAAATAATAGTGTTATATAGCCTAACACTTTATATGATTAGATATCTGGTTGTGTCATCAAGGATTGTATTTTTGCTAATATTTAATGACTTGATTCTTGAGTATTTTAATAGTTTTTTATCCTATCTGATGGATTTTATTGTTTGTTCTACCTTTATAGACTCTCTTACATTGTTTTTCAAGGATTTAGATGTTTAAAATCAAGCATGTGTTTATTGGTTTATACACAGTGTTTTTGGATTTTGGTTTCATATTCTCTTCAAAATATGTACAACTTTTTTAATCTAACAATTGATTACTTTTAGCTGTTATTGAGTATCAAAAAATGAAGTTTTCAGTATATGAACAATATATGTGGATTGAAGTCTCATTGTTCTTCTGCTTGTTTTTCCAAATATTGTTCTTTATAGTCTTTTGGATTATGTTTTGAGTACTTTTAGTTACACAAAGCATTTGTTTCTATACGGGTCTTTTGTAGCTTAATTTTTCAAAACTATCTTTCATTCTGTAAATGCTTTTGACTTTTATCAACAACAGGTCCAACTTGACAGTTGCCCATCATATAAGATTAAGAGAAAACTTGAAAAGGGAGGTTTTGGGCAGGTATTAGAATAGGTGTCATGGATGGGCTCAACCTCAAGAATGATGATAATCCAACATCAACTGCTCCAAGAACTTTTATCAATCAACTGCCTGATTGGAGCATGCTATTTGCTTCTATCACAACCATTTTCTTGGCTGCTGAGAAGCAATGGATGACGCTAGATTGGAAAACTAACTAAACGCCCTGACATGCTTTCGGATCTTGATCCTTTTGGGTTAGGTAGAATGGTTGAAGATGGGTTTGTTTTTCGTCAAAACTTTTCTATTAGATCTTATGAAACAGGGGCTGATCGAACTGCATCATTAGAAACTTTAATGAATCATTTGCAGGTATCCTCATACTTCATGGAGTTTTCTTTTTGGTTTGGTATGTGTTTGCGTGTGTGATTTTACTAAACTACCCTTTGTGTTGATTTGGCAGGAAACAACTCTTAATCATATGTAAAACATGTTGGACTCTTGGGTTATGGGTTTGGTTCAATGCCTGAGATGTGAAAAAAGAATTTATTTTGGGTGGTGACAAAGATGCAAGTTCTGGTAGATCGTTATCCCACTTGGTAAGCTATAAATTATAATTCTATTCATCTTTGTGATGATTTTGACACTTGTACCCTTATCTATTTTTACACATTCAAATTAATTTCAGGGGCGATATGGTCCAAGTAGATACATGGGTAGCTGCTTCTGGGAAAAACGGTATGCGACGTGATTGGATGATACACAATTATAAAACCGGAGAAATACTAACAAGAGCTTCAATGTTGGAACTTTAACAAACTTTCCCCCCCTTTTTTGGCTTTTGTAAATTTGGTTAATGATTTTAATTAAAAGGGTGTCTTCTTTTATATTTTTTAGCAACTGGGTGATGATGAATAAAGTTACAAGGAGCTGAGGTTATCTAAAATACCTGATGAAGTCCGAGCTGAAATTGTGCAATTCATTGTAGACACACGAAATAACACATCTGAATTGTTCCTAATGGTCTAACTGTAAGTAATGGTTTCTATCTGTGGTAAGAAAATTCATCCACCAAATAACACATCTGAATTGTTCGTAATGGTCTAACTTGTATCTCTTCTCATTGAAGGCATAGTTCAAAATACAACTGACAGTGTATTTTTATATGAGGTAAATTCGTTAAGAATTTATTTATCTTAAAAATATTTTTTTATAATTGTTTGTAACTTTTGATATAGAGTGGTGGAAATGTGGAGGTACCATTTACTCATATATTATTTTATTTTATAAATTTTGATTTTTTTTCGTCATGATATATTATTAATATATGCAGCTTGGAATGAATTTTGATGATGCCAGGTCAGCATCTTCAGTAGTTCTTGCATCCTCATTCAAATCAGAGAAAAAAGGAGGCGAGGTTGCAGGCAAACCGGTAAAATCATATTTTTATTTGTATTTTATTATAATAATTTTTATTTAATTGTTTTTAGTATTTGTTATTATACTTGTTCTAACATTTTATTTATAATATCCTACTTTTGTGTTTCTTAATCTATGTATTTCATGTTTACCTTTTCTATAATAGGAGGCTTATGGAAGAATATTTGGATTGCATCTAGTACAATAATGTCCTACGAGGTTTGTTTAATTTTGTCTATTAAAGTATCCTACTTTCACAACATTGTACTTTATAGTTTTTCCTATCATGACATTCTACTAACAAAATCTATCTAACATCTTATAATCATGTTTCAATTGTAGGTTGTGTATGAACACATGAAATGTGTGGGGAGATGGATATTAAAGATGTAGAAATTGAGGCTAAACATCAACAAATGTGAAAGTTGTGGAAATGGATACAAAAATTGCAACAATAGATCCCAAACATCAGGGGGAGTTAAGAATTAAGGTACTTTGAAATCAAATATCGGTTAATGTTAAACTTTGATATTTGATTTTTTAGGATTTTTTGGTAAAATTTGATAGTTGATTCTTTTGATAGTTTAAGGTTAATGGTTGGTTTTTTAGTGTCTAAATATTTATGTTTAAATATTAATGTTTGTTTTGGGATCGTATAATTTATTTGATGTTTTTTGGTATTTTTGTTTTATATTGGTAATAAAAAAACAAAAAAAAAATCTTATTATGTTATTAAATTTTCAAGGGTTCAACAATCGACTAAAAAAAATTGTATCATACATTTGCGAGGGATCAATGATGGATCACAAAAATCTGATATCATACATTTGCGACGGATCAGCAACGGACTACAAAACAAATATGGAGATCTGAGACGGATCAGCGACAGAATATTGTTACTAAGTTTTGTCGCTAGATGACCTAAATAAGTGTAGTAAGTAACCATTTGCGATGGATAATCTGTCGCTAAATCGTCGCAAGGAAAAACCAATCTGTCGCAAAATCCCTGGCTGGCACATTAGCCATGCTTAAATTAGCTAAGGAGTTTGTCTGTTGCTGATCCGTTGCAAACAATCATTAGCAACAGATTAGCGACGGATTGGTCTGTCGCTGAAACTCTTGTTTCTAGTAGTGGATATAACTTCATACATTTTTCTTAAATATTATGTTTTCGTTTTCCACTCCATAAACATACATACACGTGAAACATTCATCATTTAGTTATAGGAGGATACATTAATCGCAGGGGAATTGTAATATGCGTCAAAGTGGACCTTAGTTTAGTTGTCATTATTTCTTTTAGCCTAAAGTGCTCTTAAACTACATTTTGTGAATATCCTAACCCAATTTTAATTGGAGAAAATTGCAAATTTAGCCAAATACATTAATTATTTTGTGGAAAATAGCAAAAAAAAAAAAAAACCAAAATTGCATTTTTAACCATTAAAATCGTAGATGGATATAAGCCATCTGCGATTTCGCATTCCCATCTGCGAACGTACAAGTGGCTAAAGCATGTCTGTGCTTTAGCCACTTGTACGTTCGCAGGTGGTTTTTTTTTTAATTTTTTCGCTGTATATATATCTCCTCTCGTTTTCACCTGCGATTTTTCGAATTTTTTTTGTTTTTTTTATACTACGAAATTGGTAGGGTTTGACTACGAAACAACCTTATTATATATAAACTTTTTCAAAAAATTATCATTTTTGTTGTTATTTCTTTGGAAATTTTGTTTAAAATGTTGTTTCGGGATTGTTGAAGAAATCGTCAATGATGGCTCTAAGAAAATCGCAGGGAGAGAGTTTCTCTAAAAAAGATAGTGAAAAATGAAGAAAAAAAAACTTTTTTGTACTAAATCTCTACGAAATCGCAGATGGAATACACAAAATCGCAGATGGACTGTTCCATCTGCGAACGTACAAGTGCATTAAGCACATTTGTGCTCTAGGCACTTGTACGTTCGCAGATGGAAATGCGAAATCGCAGATGGGTTTAATCCATCTGCGATTTTAAGGGCTAATTTTGTAATTTGGGTTTTTTTGGCTATTTTCCACAAAATATTTAATGTATTTGGCTAAATTTGCAATTTTCTCTTTTAATTGGAGCCATGCTATTATATATATAATGTTTTTAATTAAATTAACCTATAAATTATATATAGGAAATCAGATCATTGGGGGCACATGCTGCCCCTCAAAATGCATTGCATCCGTCCCCGCCGAGTACCGTTTCATATTAACATAAATGGTACCGGTTCGGTAAGTGAGACTTTTGCTCGCCTTAAAATATAGTCAAATCCTACTTTTGTCTGACATGCATCGATAATTTTATAGGAAAATTGACTAACAATCTGTCGGAAGTCCGTCGGTTCTGAATTTCCACGACTTAAAGCCCAATGGATATGTTTGTTTCGGTAAATGCTGTCACGAGTTATACTTACTTAGGTAAATGCTGTCACGAGTTATACTTACTAAAAGAATTATAATTTTGGTTCAACATGTCTCCGGTTTGAACCTCGTACGTGTTATCATCAATATATTTCGAGTTATACTTGAGACTAATTAAGAGAATTATATATACTTTGCGCACTTCATGTGTAAAAGATAATTTGCATGAACAAAATGGATTTACAAGGATGTCAAATGACGTTATTATTATTGAGAAGAGAAGAAAAAGTGGTTTTATTAGGAACCCATATTTCTTCTAATGGAAAAGAAGAAATATGCTTGGTTCATGGGTAAAGAAGCTTCGCATTAGCCATTTAGCACCGTGGAATGTTGATTCGGAAAACCCAACAATATTAACATTACCGTGGTGCTAAACAAAGAAACTAAAGTAAACACTTTGACTTAATCTAATTATATTTAGAAAAACCAAATGTCCTTTTCTTGCAACACGTGAGAATTTTTATTAATCTATCATTTGATTTCAAAAGATTAACGCGCAAAGGGGTGTTGGATTACCCAGTTAAGCATAACCTTCGAATGTAACATTCTTATGTATAAATTACTAATACGTTCAATTAACGAATACATGACCTAATTTTCTGGGAATAAAATCGGCCCATGGATAATATATTTTATCTGGTTGGTGACTATATATGACATGGCCAATTGGTCATCGTGAAATAAATGAATAAACAACATATTAAATAATCACAAAACCCACTTAAAAATAAAATTTAGAGTAAATTATAGAAGTAGTCCCTATGGTTTACTCAAATTCACAGGTTTGGTCCAACCTTTGAAAATTTGACATGGACAATCCTTATGGTTTGAAGAAGTTACAATGATGGTCCTTTCATGATAACATTGTCAGAAATCAAATGTTAAGTATGACTAAAGTGACAAATATACCCTTCTTTTTAGTTTATAATTTTATTTTATTTTATAAACTTTAGGGACCGAAAATGAAACATGATAATGATAAGTACTAAACCAAAGATCCCCTCAACATTCACTATTTGGTCCTCACACCCTGTACTCTTTGTTTCTCCCTCTCTTTACTCCAGCACCAACGTCGGACACCACTGCCAGCTACAGTTGTTGACTACACCACCACCTGCATCTCCACCATTAGCTCTAACCTTGTCTCCCTTTTATATGCCTTCATCAATGTTGTCTCCCTTATCTCTCACCCCAATCCCCACCCCTACCGCTATTTCCACCCATCCCCTTTTTCTTTACCCTTTCTCATCTGATAGCTCTAACCACCACTACCACCCAAAGAAACTAAAGCTCCTCCAACCAGATTAACAAGCAACAACTTGTTCAACCTCCTAAAAGTCAAAACATGTTAAAAGAGGGCTCAATCAAACCTAAAATCAACTTGAAAATATGAAAATTAGATGAACCTGTTGGACTTTCATTCATTTGATTTATTTATAAAACCAAGAAGGTGGATTTTTGGTCCGTTGATCTCATGTTCGTCTTCAATAATATCTTGTGCATTTATGTCTTTTTTTTTTCTTCTTGATTCTTTTCTGATCCTTTGAAATTGAATGGTGAGTGAGGGTGTTTGGATGTGCTTTTGATGTGTAGAATCAGAATCGATTACAATGATCTATGTCAATTAGTTTCACTTGAAATGGGTAAAGGAGCAAACCAATTCAGAGTAAAAGAATGAAACAAAATGATACTCTACAGTTTCATTAGCTTTGATGATGGCTAGTGACATGCCATATGAACCCTAGAAAACAAGCATATATACAAATCGATGGTACACCAGAGAAGTAGAGAACCAACTAGATCCTAACAAGTGGATGATTCATGATACACCAGATTGACAACCATCATTGAGGGAGACAACAAGTGGTGGTGGTGTTGTGGTGAAGAGAAGACTGGAACAATCCGTGTATACGATTACAAGTGATAGCAACACCGAGATAGCACCGATGCAATGGCAACAAGTGGTGATGGTGTTGTGGTGCAAAAAAAGAGGAGAAAAGAGAGATGGGTGAGGGGGATCAAACGATGATGCAAATTTCTTTCAATTGAAATTGATTTTTAGACTGAGTCGACGATGGTCAGATGATGGGTGGGAAAGAGGTTCATCGAACCTCAATATGGAGTGGGACGATAGGTTAAATTTAGGTCTTTTATTCCTTTAATTTTTTATTACATAATTGGCACTTATACTTTGTGAAATAAAAAAATAAAAAAATTAATAAATAGGGGTATTTTGGTCTTTTACTCAGACTTAACATCTTATTCTTATTGACATCAGCCAAGAGGGACCCGTAGTGTAATTTTTCCGAACCATAGGGACACAACCTATTAAATTTTCAAAGGTTAAACTAAACCTTCTGTAACATCCCGACGATGAGGTATTTCCAAATTTAACCCTTAAGTATGAGGGTATATGATTTTTAGCCCGTGTGTATGAGAAATCTCGCAAAATGGCCCATTGTGGCATTTTGGTAATTTTGGGTCGAGGTTTAGTACGTTGCGCGTACTTGCACATGTCTAGTACGCTGGGCATACATCGCGTACGCAAGGCGTACGTGCGAGAGTTTCAAACCCTAAAATTTAGGGTTTGGACCTTATTTAAATATCTTTATGGCCTCCAACCTCATATCTCATCAGCCTCCAACAACTTCATACGATTTTAGCAAACCCTAGCCCCCTTCTTAAGCATTCTTAACCCTTGCGTGTGTTTTTGGTGGTCTTGAAGGAGGAAGAAGGAAGTAGAACCACCTTGGAAGCTTGGAGAAGCTTTGGATCTGGGATCTTCACCTCTCTAGAAACCTCCAATAGGTATAAAGTTTCAAACTTGGCTTATAATTCCTTAGATCTAGCTAAGTTCTTGTTTCATGAGCATTTTGTCCCAAGTCTTGACCTTTTTGGAGTATGGTATGTTGTAGTCCATTCTAGCTGTCGTTTCAGATATTTTGAGGGGTTTGGAATCATAAAAATAGGATCTTAGCTCTTAATCCTTCTCCATGCATGTGTTTGTTTGTCTTAATGGTTAAGAGGATTGGGTTTTTAGCATTTAGCACTTATTGGCCATGCAAGACCATAAAGTTGGAAAGTTTATGGTCAAGGATGATATTTGGGTCTTGCATCTGAATTTTGGCCTTTATATTTTAAGTATTAAGCTCTTAAGTCGTTAAGAAGGAACCTGTTGCATATGCTGGGCGTACCAAATGGTACGCTGCACATACGTAGTTTGAGCCCCGACGCTTCAGACCATGTGTCACAACTAGCATTTTGGCTAGGAAATTTCGTCCTCATAGAAGCAATGACTATGGTGAGACTTGTGCTAGCACATTTAAGTGTATAATATGAGTTCTTAATGATCCATGTAGTGTTAGAATGCAAATCTCTCCAAGAATATGAAATCTCTCCCAAATCTCTCCAAGAATATGAAATCTCTCCCAAATCTCTCTAAGAATATGAAATCTCTCCCAAATCTCTCCAAGAATATAAAATCTCTCCAAGTAAATCGAATCTCTCGATATCGTCAGACCAAGGAGGTGTAGGGCCGTTGTAGCCCATCCTATGCGGTGGTACCCTTGCCATGTAGGGAGGGTTGATAACTTCAGACTCTGCGTCCGATTCCTCGTCCTCCTCAACCTCTTCCTCGTCATCTTCCTCGAATTCTTCATCGATGTCTTCTTCTTCAAACTCCACCGGTTCTTCAGGATCCTCCATGGGTTCCTCGGGGTCTTCTTCTGGGTCTTCCTCAATCCAACCCCCATTCCCCTGATTGGGAAAGTAAGGGTCTCCGGGGAGGTGAAAGCCTGCC